TTATGCCCGTCCGGTATCTGAAAACCTGTATCAGTCATATAAGTAATCGCATTTGTGTTTCAAAGGATCTCGGCTGGTACTATACCAAAAAGGGAAAATATAAAAATAAATTAAAAAAACTATTCAATTTGTAAAAACTTATTTTGTTTTAACTGCTTTTGGTTTTCATGGTTCCTTTATTGTCATGTTGTTTTGTTTAATTTTTTTTTTCCCATTGTCATTGTTTCCCGATCAGCTGATTGGCTGGTGGGTGGAGTGTTTTCTAGGGTTGGACTCAATCCTCAAAGATCGCAGGTTTGCCATTCACAGTACGTTACCATGGTGATTAGCCTCTTTAAGAACGAATCCAGCGTTGTGGTAACGGAAAGTCACCTTTGCATTTTAAGATTCTAAGATTAAAGTCAGAATTCTGAGAAAAAAGACAAAATTTTGGAAAAAAAAAAATCAGAATTCTGACCTTTTTCTCATATTATACTGAAATAAAGTTCAAAAATTAGGCAACTTTTTAAATTTTTTCACTAGCCCTAACCCTATTACGTAGAATGCCGACGTCACGCAAAGCCTAAAAGTGTGATACAGCAAGGTGTAACCCTATGAAAGAATCCTAGCTGAAAGCCTGACTGATATTAAAGCAAACTAGGAGGAGGAGGCCCTTCACAAATGTTTGTCAAATCTACCACCAGGTGTAGAGCATCATTTAGAGTCTTTGATCAAAACAATACAATGAGATCAAGTTAAATACATCTTTATTTGCAGTTATATTTAGACAAACATTGCATCTGTTAACAAAACAAATCAGTTGGTTTATCAAACTGAGAACACAAGTTAGAAGAAGAAGATAAACGCTGGACAGCTCTTCCTGAACATGCCTTTGTTGCAAACTCTCAGCCATCCTCTTACATTAATAAGAGAACATTGGTTTTCGTACGTTACTAAAAATAAACAGGATAGACAGAAATATGTGTTGCTTTTCTTTACTTTAGTAAAAAAAAAATTTCAGTGATTAGGTGGACACAGTTTAGAAGGTTTAAATTTGAAGATAAAATGATCTAATCTATTGTTTTGTAATGGACTCTTTTGAGACTCACAAAAAAATGCTGGAAACCCAAACCTGCATCACTTTTTCAGTCCAGAGCACATCTGATTGGCCGTTCAGTGCACTCTTAGCTCCCTAAATCGGTGCACCATTTTGGACAAAAAAGCTTTTCCATCTTTATCTTTCCTTAATGCCATGATAAATTTACTGGGAAAAAAAAGTAAATAAATTGGAGATTATAGTGATAAATGATAATATTGTTATCATTTAAACACTAGTTTAAACTGAAATGATGATAAACGCTTAATAATGCAAGTACACTATTTGAAGATTAAGATTTAACACTATAGCTAGAAGTTATTTTTAATATCGATAATGAAAAAAAATACTAAAAATGACAAATAAAATATACTCTAAACCTCATTAATAAACCAGAAATAAAAATAAAAACTACAAACAACAATTAGAATAATTTATCTGTAAACAAAATCAATCCTCTAAAACTTTAATGTTTTCCAGGCCAGGGACCCCCTAACTGATGGCAAAATGGAGCGGGGACGCCCTAATTATATATATTGGGTGAAATTGTGTTATATCAAACTGGTCCTATAGTCACTCTATTATGTATGGAGTAAATTAACTAAAGTAATTTCTCCCTGGGATTATTAAAGTATTTCTGATTGTGATTCCTGGTTGATGGGACAGGTGTTGTGAAAGAAACGGTGCCCAGCTGTGGGTCGCTGAATGTGTGCATTGATGACTGAAAGACATCTTCTGCCTCCATTTATCTGTTTACTACAGTGTGTTGAATTCATTTTAATGTGGATTTAAAGACATTTCAATTACTGGAAATTGGAGCGGGGAATATAAAAAAAAAAGTCTAATCAACCAAAACTTTCGCGACCCCCATGCAGTACCTACGTGGACACCCCAGGAGTCGCGGACCCCCTGTTGAAGACCTCTGCTCTAAGATATTAATCAGAACGGGAACAACAGGCAAAACTGCCTGTATTAGAAAGAAGTGGAAACTAACTTAAAAACTCAATTTGAACAGCAGACACCTCGATGTGGGCGAGATTTGCTTTACCAGAAACTTCATAACGGGTGTCAAATATTTGCAACAATTTTGGAAATGCTGGCTTTGGATCGCTCTTAAAGGTCAACGTCTCTTCAGAGATGAAGCAAACTTTTCTCTCTGTGTTAGCTCCATTTTCCCATTTTCATTTTTAGCATTTTGTTGGTTGATTAAATGCTGCATAGATCATCTAATGTCTGGAATTAAAACTTTCCCCCAACATAGCAAACTGCATAGAATGATTATGTTTCAGCTGCAGATGCATGTTTGTTGTAGTGCTGCGTTTAGTTGCTACTGATTAATAACAAATGCGACACACAGGTTTAGAAGTTCAAGGGCTCTAAAACCATTTCAAATCTATTTTTCCATTTCTCAGCTGCCCTTTTTCCTGGCTTACTACTCCTCAGCCAGGAGGCTCTCATGCTACAGTCGCTATGCTTAAGGAGATGTGAAGGTTGAGCTGAGTGGAGACCAATGCGCCGAAGTGATGCCTCTCCAGCAGAAAGGGAAGGAGACCAAAATAAAACAGACAATCATGCTAAAAGAAACTATTGAGCTCATTTAATTTATCATGCGATACATTGTTATTGTGCGATTAATTGATGTACTCCTTGCTGCCGAAGGCCTAATTGTTGAATGTAAAAGCATGAACAGTAACTCTATAGGAAATGATCAGGGTCAGAGGGGGTGGAACAGATATTAATGGGAAGATATTAAGTTTTAACAACTGATTAGAGGAAGGACTGGGAACATTTACACATGGAGCCTTCTTATTTACCTACCAAAGGTCCCAAAAACACAGAGGCAGTATTTACATAATGGATCTTCCTTTTAATTTGGAGTTTATCGCCACCTAGTGGACTGTAATTTTAGGAGTTTCTGCTTTACTCCACAAGGTTCGTACAAAAATAAAACAAAATTTTTGCATTATTCTAAGTATTTACAGCTAAAGTAATCACCACATGAAGAATCTAGAGTCAGAAGATTAAAGTAGTTCAATCTAATCAGAATCAGATTAATTTGGTTTCTCTGAGTGAGAATCTGTTGCGAGGCGTCCCACCGACGATCCAAGGAAAAGCATGTAGCTTGTGAGTCAGAGGGGAGATCGGTGGTCATTATGTGGCAAACTGATCGCAATCTGAAACACAGCATGTGATTTAACACATAGCTGTAATCTGATTGGATTTTTGCTATACTTAAAAAAAAAAAAATCTGAGTAATCAAACTGCTTGCAAAAATAACAAATAGGTCAAATGATTCCCTAAATTAGTAAGTAAATATCCAGCAACCTTTTAGAGAAAGATTCATTATTATTCAACTGCAATAGCCTGTTTTTAAATTCAAATCAATTGCTGAAAATGTGACTCTATTAATCATTCTAACTTTATTTATTTCTATTCTTCTATTTAGCATCATGCAGCCTTTATAACACAAGTTTACACAGAAATGACACAAAAACTTATTTCAGTTTTGTCAACACAAAAAGGTTTGCATTAGAACTCAATGGTCGTGCAAACTTCATGTCTTCACTGTCCCTAGATGTTCTATCTGCTGTCTAAGTGTCAAGCTCCCACATCAATAGAGATTAATTACGCTTCTGTTTTATATTTTCACCTAAAATTAATCATTTTATGAGTAAAAATATTCAAAAAAAATTGAAATAAATAAAAAAATAACATAGTTACAACCTCAGTTAAGCAGTAGTTGTAATTTCTTTAACTCACTGGTCCTGTTATCATCTGATTGATAAAAATAAAAAACCATAAAAAATTAAGGATTCTTGGTATTATTATTATTATTGAAAAAATCTTAGTGATTTGACTTCATATCATAACTGAATTTGGGTGAAGCAATCGCTAATTTTGCAGGATCAAGTGGAGCTCCCCCTACAGGACCTTTAGAAAACAGCACTGTTGGAAACATAGCCTGCCCTTCATGTGACCAGGAAGCACCTCAGAGCTATAACGCACTGTCACGCTTAAAAGATGATAAACTAATGGAGAAATCTGTCCCTCTAAAGCCTCAACAGTACTAATAACAGAGGTTAGCACATCTGGTCCTACAACAACAACACCAGCAGGTCTGCATCGATTGGCATCCTTGTTTTAGTTTGAAGTCTCTTCGAAAAGTAAAAGGTTTGCTCATTTCTCTCTTGAGCGAGACCTGATCTGATTCAAGTTTTCTCTTCCGTTTCTCTTCAAACAAGGTAACCGGTAACCTGGCACGACAGATTGGTTATGTGTAGCACTCTGCGTATAATCTTTGACTGCTTCCATTTAATCAATTCAGGGAAAGGAGGGACATTCAGTGATGCCTATAACATCACAGGGAGTTAGAAAAGGATATATTAAGATAAAATCTTCCATTAAAAATATTTCCCCACTTATTTTTCCATGTCTTTGTAAAGAAACTCCTAAAGTCGATTGTGTTTGGTGGTGGTTCAGGTATTGCTCGCAGCCTGCAGTAAAGATTCACCCAGATATTTATGCTGAAGTTGTTACAGGTAACCAGGAAAACCCGGAGTGGAGTTTTCACCAAAAACTTTAAATCTAGGTAAGTAAATTTTTCTTAAAATATGTCCATTATTTCTTGGATTGAGGAGGTAAGTGAGACACTTAGCCAACGAAAAAAGACAATTTACATTTAAAATAGGAAAAAACAATTATAGTCTCTTATTCCGAAAGAATAATATCTAACTCTCTACTCTAGGGTCTCTAGGGTAAAAATACTCATTCCATCGGCAGATCATCTTATTTACGTACCGGTACTCAAATTAATGGTAAATACACTTATTTTAAGAAATGTTTACTTATTTCTGGGCCCTTTTTGCCGTTTAAGCATTCCCCTATAGATTCTGAAAGCCATAGAAACAGTGCTGTGTGACTAAATATGTAAAATAAATGTGGGGGGTTCAAACAAATATATTGAAAAGTAAAAAAAATGTCCCTTTATCTGGAGATTAAAGTGAAGCCTTTAAAAGTAACAATACTGGCCAGAAATAAACTTCATCTGAATGGATTTTAGCTTTTCTGTCTGAACCATGGAAGAATCTAGTGAAGCCCTCACAGGTTTCCTGTTTCAGTTATGATTGTAGATTCCTCCGTTTCTGGTGCTACCGATGAGGGGAGACGATAGCGGATGATGGCCTGGCCTGATGGGCTTCGCTGAAACCAGAGAGAAGAAAATGTTCAGTGACTCATATGCTTTTGTTTTGGATCTAAAAATATATATATATTACTAACAAAAATATGAAACCTTTTCAAATTCAAGTTAAGAACATCTTTGGTTTGCATAAAATATGCAACTTTAAATTGCAAAATAATACTTTTGAAACAATCACACACAAGTTGTAAAAACAATGATCAATAAACTTGGCCTCTTATCTGTTAAACTTTGATACAAAAGCAATTAAACAATAAAAGACCTTAACTTCAACAAAACATTATTCTGGTCTTTCATTAAGTAGAAGAGTTTTATTTTGAGGAATTGAAAAAAAAACTGTTAAAATAAACTTTATGAACCAAAGGTGAATCTTTGTTTTAAACTGGATATAGCATCTTTTTACAGGCGGAAATTCAAGATTTTGATCTTAAAGGTTTCATTACCTCCAAAGCATTTCGTTAGAGAAAACTTAATCCTTAAAGCTTCAACAACAATTAACTTATGTGTTTTCCACTCTTGCTTCTACTGTTATGGAGAAGCATTTAGTCTCAATCAAATCAAAATTGGTTAATACAGAAATGTCTGAAATCCTGAATACAAGAAGAACAGAATCTTTTATTTTCTCTCTCAGCTTTCCTTGCTGAGATAAAGGAAGGGCAGGACTCACCAATCTGTGCAGAATAACCCCTCCTGGCCATGTTCTTTGCTCGGACTGCCTCCTTAATGCGGTCCACCTCTTTCTGGTAGCGTTTGCGGTCCCTAATGGCGTTCTCCTTGGCCTCCTTCAGGGCGTTTTCCAGAGCTTTGACTCGCTCAGCCGTGGCACGCAGACGTTTCTCCAGTTTGGGGAGCTCACAGCGTAGGTCTGCGTTGTCTCGTACCAACTGGGGAGGCACACCAGAAACGAGAGATGTCACAGTCTGCCACACCACATTGTTGGGACTCTAATCTTAGATAAATCATCCTTGGGAACATTCACATGCTATCCCTGCAATAGTGTTTGGGGGCTCGTCCGGGAGTTTAACACTCACCAGATTAAAGGAATAATTAATGCGTTAAGTTTACCTGCTTGTGGACTTTGGTGAGCTGGTCTAAATTGTTTTCCAGGAAGGAGATTTTCTGCTTCTGAGCGATGTTACCGAGACCCTCCTCACAGTCGATCTCAGCGCTCTTCACAATGAGCAACAGGTCAGAGCATCAGCACAAAATTTCACATTTATGCAGCTGGTTTAAGGGTTTATGACAAATTTACCTTTTTAACTCGTGCTGTGAGATCCTGAACGAAGAGTTTGCGCAAATTGTGCAGAGCCTGCAGCTCTTTGGCCTGAAGACACATAATAAAGAGTAGATAAAAATAAAAAAATTAAAATCTATAGGACTGGTGTTAAACACAATTTATTTTACAAAAGTGACCAGAAAATACACATATTCAACAATAAGTAACAATGCCAGAAAAACAATGAAAAAAAAACATGTTTAACAAACTTGATATTTTATTACAAAAGCTTCATGTCTGAGTTTTACAGCATTTATTAAAATCATTTAAAATAATTGAATCCAGTCAGGATGAGATCAACCCAACGTTCATAGTTAGGATATCCTGACCATTAAATAAATGGATTTTGATTTATAAATGATATATAGACTGAAATAAGAGCAACTAACTTTTCTTTGCAACAGTTACAATCATTTTTAGTTTTTTTTATTTAATCAAATACTTTTTTGCCTCATTTTGTTTCTTCACTGCAGAAAATTTAAATCTAAAAAAGTAATTTCTTCTTAAAATAGGGGATTTTTTTTCTTGAATTGAGGAGGTGAGACACTTTATATTTAAAATAAGAAAAAAAGACAAATGCCTTGTCTTATTTCAAGTGATTGTTTTCTAATCATCTAATATTAAGAGTAAATATACTCTTTTCATTAGCAAATCATCCCATTTAACTACTCAAATTAAGGGTAAATATACTTAATTTAAGAATTTTTGTAATATTTTTAGATTTTTCATTTTTTGCAGTGTTGAAGCTCTGTCCTGTTTTCTCGGTTTCCTTATTTCACTCTTTGTGTCTGTTACTTTTCTTTTGTCCATTGGATCCTTCCTTCTCATCCGTTCCTCTGCTTTTTCTAAAATCCTTCTTTCCTTGTGTCTTTCCTTCACTCCAACTTTATTCGTTTTTCCAGGCATATGGACAATCCACCCACTTCAGAGATATCAGCTATTAATCCTACAGCATGTCACCCACCACAGTCTCCTCGAGCCCCTTCAGGTCCTCTCTGGCTTGTTCCCTGTGTTCATTCAGCAGCCTGCAGAAGAGAAAAGAACAAACCAACATGAATGAAGCTTTAGGACATTAAACACTATTACCTGATGGTGTTCACTGGTTCCTACATGAGCTTCTGTAACTTCAAATCCTTCTCCTGTTCCTCATTCTTCAGCTTTTCATAATCCGACATCAGTCTCTCCTGCTCCAGCAGCAGACCCTGGTTCAGACTAGAAGAAAAACATGTTATAATTAAAATAAGTCCATCTAGACAGTAAATTATTCTGTTTAAACCATCTTTATGGCCACATGTGTGGTAACTGGAGGTTTGAAGCTTGAATACATGTCCCTAATAATTAGGATAGGCGCGATATCTTAAGCAGAGAACTCTGAACCTGTCGTCTACCGTAATATAACCATCAGAGGTTTTTAACAGGACAGAAGGCCTCCATTCATTCATTCATACCGGTAATCTGGACTTAGTAGACCAGATGTTCCTTGTCTGTTTAAAATGAGTGCAGTCCTCTGGTTCAAAAGCAATATAAAGCATTTTCAGTCTAACAGAAATTGCTATGAAACAGGATTCCTTAAAAAAACATGGATCCATTTAGGGTTTGATTTAATGATGTCGACCAACAATTTGACTTTTCTGATGCCTCAGAGAAGGCTACTAGAAGAACAGAAAGATGCTTACTTCCAGAACGAGGGTTTATTAGCAGATTAGAGTTTATTGGTCAGTAAGAGTGAAGTCCAGCCCATTCTGTAGTTTACATTCAGGAAGTAGATTAATTCAGATTAATTGTTAATTAATTGTTTGCCTCGCTCATACACCCTTACTTTCCAAAATAACATTTGCATTTTTTCCACTCTGTGAGACTCACCACCGGTAAATGAAAATGTGGACGAGTGTTGTAATAATTATGTATAAGATACTTAAAGTTTGTTCTTATGATGTATAATGTGTGACATATTACTGTTCCAGAGAGGTGTTGCACAAGCAGCATAGGTCAACTCTCAGGAAGTATTGCTCAAGCTTAACGAAACCAGGAGGTTTTCGGACCATTTGACCGAAAGACATTTAAATGAAAATTGCCTTTTCACTGAGGCTGCAAATTGAGTTGTATTTCTTGTTTCCTATTCCTTTAGCGCAACCTCAGCTTGTGTAACTAGGGAACCCCCCTGTGGCTTTAATAAATAGCGAGGAGAAAGCTGAAGACTGGCAGAGTGGGGTGGAGATGTACCTGCACGGTCTCTTCCTACTCTCCTCTCCTCGCGAGTAAAAAGAATTCTGACTCTGTGCCTTTCTTTCCTTGTTTTACAGTGTTTTAGGTGTTAGACCTGACAAAGAGACTTGCATAAAGATATCACCAGAATGATCGACAATTAGGAGGACAATTTACTTTGATGATCCACCTGGAAAAAGAACATCCTCTAGAATACCTTTAGGTTTTATTAACTTTATTTTCAGCTAATAGACTAAATCCAGTGCTGTTCTATTACTTTCCAAATACTGAAATTTTGTTTGGTCCATTTAAAAATGACTATTTTAATCTATTTCATTGTATTTAGAATGCAGGGTTAGGGTGAACGAGGGTTTAATAGCAGATTAGAGTTTATTGGTCAGTAAGAGTGAAGATTTCCTCACTCTGTCAGCTCATCTAGCATCTTCTGCTTGTCTTCGATCTCGTCCCTCAGGCGACTGAGCTGCTTCTGATGAGCCTCCCTGTTGGTCTCCAGCTGCTCCTCCATCGTTTTCTACAGCAGGATGTAAAATAAACACATCAGAGACACAAAAGCCCCACAAACCCTCTGGATCTCAGCTTCACGAAGCCGTTTGACTCACCTTCAGCACCTCTTCTCCATCCAGCCTGTGGAGGTCCTCCTTCAGCGCCTCATGATGTTTTTCTGAAGAGAAATAATCAATGTAAACTTTAAACGGCGGTCAGGCTGACAGAGAGCTTTGCAGCTCTGCATTAGGTTTTCTAATCAGACTCTGCTTGCTGTGATGCACCGACCCTGAGCCTGCAGTTTTGCGAGCTCCTCGGTCAAAGCGTCTTGATTCTCCTCCAGTTGCCTCTTCTTCTGCTCCATGTTCTGCATGTAGTCGGTCAGAGACCTGATCTTTGCTTGGTGCTGCAGGGACAGGGAAAGGACAGAATAGAAGGAATGTTCACCTGGAGGGAGGATTGAAGAGTTTAGCAGAGTGCTGTGGGTCGTTTCCACCTGTGAGATGAGCAGCTGACAGGACGCCAGCTCCTTCTCGTTGGCCTGGATCTTGCGGTGGGCGTCGGCCTGGCTGCTCTCCAGCTGCTTACTGCGGTTCACCAGAGACTTGACCTCAGACTTCATCTTGCTGAGATAGAGCCGAGCGACGGTGAACTCCTCTTCCACTGACGAGCCGTTCCCCTTGGCCTCTGCAGACTGAGTGACGGGGCAAACTGGTCAGACTGGTAAATCTATTCAACTGTTAGCCTGATTTATAAAGCTGTACGGCATTCTCCTTACAGAGGTCGCCTTTATGTCGCCGGTGCCGATGATGGCGCCGATGTCGCTGAGGTCTCGCAGCAGCAGGTTGAGGACCTCCGCAGCTCTCTTCCTCTGCAGACCATTCAGCTCCTCCAGATGAATCAGCTCCCGTTGGACCACCGACAGCAGACTCTGTGGACACAACCGGATAAAAGCATCTGTCTGCTTAATGCCCCGCACACATCTGGGGCAATAAACTCACGGTTTTCTGCTGCAGCTCCTCTGTTAGCTGCTGGTTGAGCTGCTCCCGTTCCTCCACCTCCTGGCTCTTCTGGTCATAGTTGACGGCCAGCTCCTCCAGGGCCTGCAGCACCTCCTTCACCTCCTCCTTTGCCAGCTCATTCTCCGTCTGAAGCCGACACAGCTCCTCCTGGATCTTGTCGTAATCCCGTCTCGTAGACGCCAACAGCTGTAAGAGAAAAACAGAATGAGCGGTTGCAAACTTTACCTCGTCAGTAGAAGAAAACATCAAAACGACCTCCTCTTGCTCCAACATCTGCTCTTTAAGTTTCTCGGCCAGCTGACTGTGTTGGTTGATTTCATCATCCTGCAAAAACAGAAGAAAAATTTAAAAATGATCATATACTTTAACTGGTTAGAAATTTTCATGCTTATATACTTTATCATTACATTTTAATGGGTTTATTCTGTAGAACTAACTCTATAATGAGTGTATCCATTTGCATAGATTTAATTCTATTAAAATGAAATCAGACCGATTCTGGATTTATAATTCTAACTTATTTTTAAGTGATTGTTCCATCAAATAAACTTTTATTTAACCGGTTTAATCCAGATTAATTCAGTTAAGGCTGAAAAACGAACTTCTATCTGATGTAAATAAAGGTATAGTGGAGGATTTTCGTACATTTTTGAGTAGATCCGCCCCCTCTCCACTTAAAAAAAAAAAGGCTTGTGCACAACTCTGCTCCTAAGAGGGAACGCCTATTAAACGCGTGAGAGCATGCATGAGCCCATTTCTCCTCATGCAAGCTGCTGTTTGCATCGCTCATACAAGCTTACTTTCCAAAAGAAGATTTGCAATTTTTCCACAATAAGTGAAAATATTGGACGAGCACGTAGGATGGCCTTACGTAAACATATCACCAGATTGATTGACAATTAGGAGGACCACTTATTTAGATGATCCACCCGGAAAAAGAACATCCTCTACTATACCTTTAAGTTTTGTTAACTTTATTTTTAAATCCAGTGCTGTTCTATTACTTTCTAATTACTGGTGTTTAGTTTCGTCCATTTAGGTTTGATTCTTTTCTGTTTAAAAGTAGATTTCAATTAGTTTAGATCTCATTAAATTGTTTAAGTTGTTAAAGTTAAGTTTAGATAAAACAAAAATAATAATTTTAATCTATTTTATTGTATTTAGAATGAATCCTCCTCCTCCTCTTCTTCACCTTGTCATCGAGCTGCTTGTAGAGGTTCCTGATATCCTCGTCGTATGTTTTCCTCTCTTCGCCAGAGACTCCTCCCCCACCTGGCGGCAGGTTGTCGATGATGGGAGTGTTGTCGTATTGCTCGATGTTCTTCTGATCTTTAGAGCTCAGCCGCTCCTCCTCAGGGACGTTCTCCCCTGTAAATAAACACCTCTGTTACTATGTGAGACATTAAAGAAAATAAAAGCCTGATTTTTCTTAATTAGGTTACAGCAAAGTCTTTCTAAAGAAAAAAAAAACAGGAAATGGATTTTTAAAAAAAAGTCAAAGTTATTTAACTAGATGATCAATAGAGTATGAAATAAATCAAAAGGCTTTAAGATGATAGTGACAAAAAAATTTAAAGGCAATGTAAAGTCTTAATGTAAATAGAAATACCAATTAATTTCTTTGTGAGAGCTGCTTTCAGATATTTTGAGGATAAAATGTGGAGATTTTAGAACACATTAGCTATAGAGGAGGAAGAGGGGGAGTGTTAAAAGGTCCTGCAGCGGGTCTCAAGCAGCAGGAGCGGTGCATCTAGATGCATATGAACATCTGAGGCACGAGACGTGCTTCACAAGCAGCAGATGCTGAAGTTGTGTGTTCAAGCTTCAAAACTGAAGCAGCAGGTGCTTTTTTGCTTCCCGAGCGCGTCTGGTATGAACGTAGCATTAGGATGAAAACTCAGCAGAGCCGTTTTCTCTCACCGTTCCTCCAGCGGTTCAGCTCTGCCTCCAGCCTCTGGACGACGTTCTTCAGGCTCTTGTTCTTCTCCTTCTCCTTCTCATACTTCTTCTTCCACTCCTCAGCCGTCAGCTCCAGGTTCACAGACACCGTGTTCTTGATGGTCTTCGCTCTGAATCGCAAACATTATCAAGCGTGTCAGAAACACACACTTCAAACATAAACACTCCACCAAAAATGAGAAACGTATAGCCCAGAAAATATTGTTCTTGTGGAATTTGGAGTAAAATAGCCTCTGCTGATCTCCCATCATCATCTCCTCTTGTCATCAATGCTGATCCATGTCAGATTTTATGCGTCATGAGCAGAGAAATACCTCAAAGGATTAAAGTGTGTTGGTTTAAATTCCCAGGAAAGACAGTAAAAGGGTAAAAAAAGGGAAACTCGACATACGGGACATAAAAATAGGAATAAACAAAGTCACACAGCAGGAAGCTCTGAAGACCATCTGCTTGCTGGTTTGCAGAACTGACGTCAGTCTCTGTTTACTCACCCAGACAGGTTTAAAGTGACCAAGAAAATATCTCAAAAAGTCAACATACCTTTCCCATTTTTTAAAATATCTTATTATGTATTTTCATGGAAAACAACTGAAGATATGATCCTTATCCTTTGATACGGGAAGCAGTCAGTATACAGCATGCATATGGGGCAAGATAACTGTCAAAAATCTTTAAGGTGTCTGAAGTTATAAATACAGGTCACTAAACCTTATTACCGTAATTTTCGGACTATAAGCCGCGACTTTTTCCCCATTTTTCGACCTTGTGGCTTAATAACAATGTGGCTTATGTATGGACTTTTACAGCTAACGGCCACTAGGGTAATACGGTACCTAAATCTATGGATTTTACCATCCACCATGTTGACGTCACATTTACTTCAACACACAAGACGCCGCCCATGCAGGAATGTGGACATCCTCCGGAAGCAGACTCTGAGAAAGACGGACATTGCGAACGCAAGACAGTTTGTGTGACACCCTCATTATGGAAAACAAACGTTTAAATGCATATGAAGCAGCTTTTAAGTTAAAGGCAGTCAATTTGGCAGTAAACGAAGGAAATAGAACCGCTGCACGTAACCTTGGAATCAACGAGTCAATGGTGAGACGTTGGAGACGCCTTCATGAAGAATTGTCTCAATTCAGTTGTGTTGAAACGTTAATAATTAGGAGCTTCCCAAAACAGTTGCCTCTTTCCCGACAATCCTCTCTGTGTACGAACCATATGGTAATTAAACATAAAAAACCTGCGGCTTATAGTCCGGTTTCGGCTTGTATATGTACAAATCATGCAATTTAGCTTCTGCGGCTTATATTCAGGTGCGGCTAATAGTCCGAAAATTACGGTAAATGTAAGATTTATATGTTTTCCCTTCTTAGCGGCTCATATTTACATGCGACATCAGATTAATTCAAGTCTCGATTTTTTTGAATACAAGTTAGGAGTATAAATCTACTGTGAGAAAGCTTTTCACTTCTTAGCAGTTGGTCGGGGTAATGCTCCTTTACGCTGTGTGCATGGGGTTTATTAATGAGAACAAGATAAAGAAAACAAAAACAGAACGATGGAGTGAAAGATTATTCTGCGCATGCCGTAAAAATATCCCGGCAAAGTAAAAAGGTTCAATCGACGGTTCTGTTTTTCTTTTTGATTCCTTTAATAACAGCTGGTAACAACCCTCAGGTGCATTACTGCCATCAACTGGTTAGGAGTCAAACAGCTTCATCAGGGGTTTTAGATTTATACTCATAAAATCACTAGGAATCCCATTCAACAGCAGCCTATGGCCCGGTCGTCTATTTGCGGTTTGCTGCAGCAGCTGGAAGGCGTTTTTAATGTACGTAATCCAAACTGCAGGCACCAGGAAAATAAAAGCGAACATGTTTTACCAGCAGATTTCAGCATTTTGAGTTAATTTAGGCATCAATAAACTGTTTCAGAGGAGTTATCATAGCGCTCTGTACCATCAGTAGTGCTCCTGCTGCTCTAGACGTGCTGCAGCATGCGTGTTCGTGTGTTTTGAAGCCATGTTTTTGTCAGGTGGTCTCAAGGGAGAGGCATGGTTGTGAATGTTCAAAAATATAGCTTCCTGGAACCGTTTTTCCAAGATCTGCTACAGCATCTTTAAGTCATGTGACTCCTTTGTGTTACCAGGACTCAGGTGTAAATGAAGATCAGGTGTGTTCAGGTTATTACCACAAACATGATGGCAAATAACTCTCTTAGGATCTGAAAATTGAATTCCTGCTCATCATAAAGAAGGTTTCCCAAAATCTAGAAAATACAGCAGCAGGATGACACAGAAGAAAGCCTTTAAACGAAAACAAGCAGACTGAGGACATGGAACCATGTCCTGTGCTCTGATGAGACCAAGATGGCAGTCAAGCATGGTGTTGGGAGTATCATGATGTGGGGCATGGAATCTGTCAGCTGTGTGGAGCTGTAGTTCTTTGAGGGAACCATAAGGGCCATTATGTATGTGAAAGACTAAAGCAGAGCGTCTCCAAGACAACCGCTGCCTTGCTAAAAGAAACTGAGGGTGAAGGTGCTGAAGTGGCCTGACTGTACTGATCTGTTGGGACCTTAAAGCCAAAGGTGGAGGATCAGAGAGTCTCTTATATCCACCAGCTCTAGGGATCTCCATGGCGGAGGCGTACCTCTGTCCAAACATAAGTGTGGACTTGGTCTCTGCCTCGTTGTAGATGGACGGCGAGCAGCAGATGATGATGGTGGTGCGACAGTTTCCTCCCAAGGAGTCCTGCAGGATCCGGGTCATCTTGCTGTCTCTGTAGGGCACGTGGGTTTTCTGAGGATGTCAACAAAAAAAGATTTGATCTAACATCTTACAGAGATACTGTGATTCCCTATAGAAACTGAAGACTCACGGTCCCTTCAGCCAGAGCAGAGATGACGTTCCCCAGTGCAGACAGAGATTTGTTGATGTTTTTGGCCTCGTCCAACACCGCCCCCTCAGCTCCAGTCTTGCTGACCTGTTCAAACAGCCAATCTCACAGATTATAGGAATCACACAGCACAGCAGATCACCTCGTTAATCTCAGGCCGACCTTCTCGCTGCCAGCAAGATCGACCAGGTACAGCTTCCCTGACAGTTTCTTCTCTGTTTCAACGTTTTCCTGCTTGATGTTGATCAAGAAGATGCTGTGGCTGCGGGAACTGTGTTCATTCATGTCTGGAACCAAGAACAGGAAATAACCATTAGGTCATGATGGTTATCCAAACAATCATAAATATCCTGCTTGACCGAGATTAGTTCACCAGGGTTAATTAGAATATATATATATATATATATATATATATATATATATATA